GCCTGATCCTCTGCATTGTTCTTACTACTCTCAAGAGCTACAGCCTTTGGGGTATATATTTTGTATTTGTCCAGTGGAGTCTCTGCTTTCTGATCATGTCCTGAGCCTGAGCCGCTTCCCCTCACTTTCCTCTTCTGCCATGATGTTCAACATCACCTTGAGCTCCAGGAAATGGAGCCTGCTATTTATAGAATGAGATCTCTGGGGCTGGGGATATGGCTCAAGCGGTAGCGCGCTTGCCTGCGGCCTGGGTTCCATCCTCAGCACCACATTACAAACAAAGATGTTGTGTCCGTCAAAAACTGAAAAATAAATATTAAAAAATTCTCTCTCTCTCTTAAAAAAAAAAAAAGAAAAGAAAAAGAGATCTCTGAAACCTGAGCCCCCAAATAAACTTTTCCTCATCTAAAACTGTTCTTGACAGGTCTTTTGGTCACAGCAGGGAAAAAAAAAAAAAAAAAAAAACTGACTAAAACACTTAGCATGTGTAAGCTCTAGGTTCAATCCCCAGCACCACTTATACATACATACATACATAGGTAAATGAAAGTGTGATCTGGACAAAGAGTAATCTAGATAGAAGGATAGAACAAAAGATCAACAGAATTGAATAGAAAGTCTGGAAAAGGACCCAAAAGTACATATAAAACCTGATTTACAACAAAAGTGCTACTAAAATTCAGTGGGGAAAGAATAGTTTTTTAGGGGCTAGGGTTGTGGCTATACAGTAGAGCCCTCGCCTCACATGTGCTGAGGCTCTGGATTTGATCCTCAGCACCACATAAAAATAAATAAACAAAATAAAGGTATTGTGTCCATTTACATCTGAACAAAAAGTTAAAAAAAAAGGAATCGTTTTTTAATAAATTATTCTGGGGCTGGGTGTGGTAACGCATGCCTGTAGTCCCAGCAACCCAGAGGCTAAGGCAGGAGGATCTTGAGTTCAAAGGCAGCCTCAGCAACTTAGGGAGGTGCTAAGCAACTCAGTGAGGCCCTGTCTCTAAACGAAATACAAAATCGGGCTGGGGATGTGATGCTGTACCTCGGGTACTCCTGAGGTAAATCCCTGGTACCCAAAAAAATCAAATCAAATAAAAATGGTTCTGGATCATTTGAATGTCCATAACAAAACATTATTGACCCCTTTCTCACACAAATTAGTTTGAAAGGATCATAGACCTACATGAGGCAAGTAAAACCATACAGCTTCTAGAAAAAGAAAAAAACCACAGGCAAATATCTTTATGACTGTGGTGGAGTATATTTTGTAAACAGGACACGAGAAGAATTGCCCATGAAACAAAAGATCATGAAATCAGATTAAATTAAGAACTTCAGTTCAGGGCTGGGGACGTGCCTCAAGCGGTAGCGCGCTCGCCTGGCATGCGTGCGGCCC